TTGGCAGATTGAATGTCATCCATACCTCAAACAGGAGAAGCTGATCAAGTATTGTCAATCCAAAGGGATTTCTGTGACAGCATTCAGTCCCTTTGGCTCTCCTGACAGGCCATGGTAAGATTGCTTTGTGATTTGTCGGGGAGCTGGCATGGATTATACTTGTGACATTGAGGTTACAGGTGCACCATTAATCATTTATCTACAGATTTTTGTTGCTAAGATGAAACTTTTTGTGGAGGATTCTTGCCACTGATCTTCTTTCCTCCATGTAGGGCTAAGCCAGAGGATCCTTCCCTTCTGGATGACCCCAAGATCAAAGAGATTGCAGCCAAGCACAACAAAACTCCAGCACAGGTACAGAGGTGCCAGACAGTGGGTACACCTTATTGTAACACAGCCATTAAGGACAAAAATGCTGGGGACTAGTAGAACCTCCATCCATTCCTCATGAACTGTGGCACTGCTTTGATTTTTCCCTAACAATGCGGATTTGTTATTATATGGCCCCCAAGAGATGCTACTATTACCTGTTTGTCTGTCAAAAAGATTCTTGACCCATCTTCTGATGCCACTTCCCCTCTCTAGTCCTCTTGCAGAGAATGAAAGCCTTGCATAGACTGTGGAAGTCCAGGAGGATAGAAAAAGAATTGCCTCTCTCAAAACTGAACTGCAAAGGAGGCCTTCCCTGTGGGCCTTCCTTCTTCCTTCACCACTTCCCTCTTTGCCATTCAGGAAGAGTTACCTAGGCCACAGGGACATGAATGATTTGAACTGTAGCTCCTAAGAAAGGGTCTAGTTCTACTGAAATACTCACTTGATGCCAAACAGCTGCTAGCACAGGCTCTGCTTTCTTCAGAGCAGGAGCCATCCTCTCTCTGACTCAGTGCTCTGCTCCTGCAGGTTCTCCTTCGCTTCCAGATCCAGAGAAATGTGATTGTGATTCCCAAGTCTGTCACTCCACAGCGCATTGTGGAGAACTCCAAGGTGAGTGTTTACAAGTGAGCTGGGTGCTGCCTTCACAGACAGCCTGGCTTCTCCTCACAGAGCAAGCAGTGATCCTTTCTCACCTTTCCTCCTCAGGCAAGAGGACTGGGCTTTTCCTTATGCTTACCTACATTCTGCTAAGTAGATGAACAGGTCTTACATGAAGCTTCCTGTTCTGTGATTTGTGGATGATTCAGCAGGCACAGCTTGCTTGGATACTGCACACAGTAACATGCCAGAAAGTTCTTGTCTAGAATAAGCAATAAAATAGTTCTTTCATCCAGAAAACTAGTTGCTCCTACATCTGTTAATTCAGTGATCCATGACTGAAAATGGACCCTCCAGTGTGGACCTGCTCTCTGATCTTGTCTTTCTTCACACTGTTGGATTTTTCAAATAGGTGATTCCCAGCTGTTTCTCTTGTTAGGTGTTTGACTTCGAATTGACTAAAGAGGAGATGGCAACTCTTCTCAACTTTAACAGAAATTGGAGGTTCTGTCACATGGTCATGTAAGTGACATCGCCTGTTTCCTTCCAACTCTTACATTTGGAGTATTCTTTACAATAAATTGTGTCATAGCTACTAGGAAGCATAAAATTCAGCTTAATTAAAAATCATGCCAACTCCAATTCCAACTCGCTTGTCCCAAAAATACTTTTTCAGGAGTAGGTTTAATATTTTCATTTTTAAAACAAAACTACTTTTTCATTTTTAATTCAGTTATGAGGAAACTTACCAAAAAAAAAAAAAAAAAAAGGATTCTTAATCTTCATTTAATCTTTGTCTGATTAGAGAAATTAGTACACATCTCCACAAATTCTTCCTATAGTTCCATGATGCAGATCTTCCCTTGGTGGCTTCTCCATGCACACAATACAACTCTATTTAATGCTTACTTCAACCATGAAAATAACATTCCCTCTTTGATTTCCTGCAGGTCCAAAAGTCACAAGGACTACCCTTTCAATGCAGAATACTGAAGATGCCTGTAGCATGGCCTCCACTAGACCTCTAGTGTCTCATGTGCCTCTGCTCTCACTCTGAGCTGTCTCTCTATCTGCTTTTCTTACTGCATCTTCCCTGCTGCTGCCAGCGAAGACATAGGATATTTACCCCATGAAATTTGTTTGAGTTCTTTTTTTGGAAGAAGGAAAGAATATTTTCTACAGAACAATATGCAGAATGTAATTTGTTGCTTATCCAAAGAGAGGATTACTACTGAAGAGCCTAGGCAGATCTGCTAAGCAGAAAACAGGGAGCGTTTGGTACCACCATTCAGAGATTGCCTTCAGTCTTGTGTCAGCAGAAACCAGATGTTGACAAGCCAAAACAAACCCCATGCATCCACTATTTCATCAGAAGTCCCTCATATTTGAAATAAAATTAATGCTAAAAACATTATTGGCTGAAAGTTTTCCATCTAGTAGGAAAAAGAGACGCACAGAGAGGTCAGCTGCAGCCACCTGCACTTCGGGGACACGGATCCTCCCCAGGACAACGCAGCCACTCAGCACCTTCACCTGCGGGCACCAGAGGGCAGACAGTCCTCAGAGGAGACCCGCGTTGCTCCCGCCCCGCAAGCATTTCACATGCCACACACCCCCGGTGTCTGCCCCTCCGTGCTCAGCCCAAACCACTGGCACCTTAGGACCTCCTTTCCAAAATGTCCACTTTCAATTCGCAAAGATAGAGCCCAAGACCATGTGTTTCCCAGCTTCCTGTAGGAAGCAGCTCATAAAGACCTCAGCGATCTCCAGGCAGAGGTGAGACATCCAGCCTCGGAGAAAATACACCACGTTCTTGAACCTAGTAAAGGTACAATATTTACTGTTGCAAAGATTTAGGGAAGTTCTACCACCCTTCACCTTTCCTCTGGAAAGCTCTTGTTCAAACACTTGCTCCAACTTACTGCAAAGCCATCTTTGTGGACAGTCACACAAATTCATCCAGACATTCCTTGGCCAAGGGCACCACTTACAGCCCCATGCCACCCACGCCAAAGGGCTCTCCTACACTCTCTTGAAGGGTCTCTCCTCTCTCCCCAGAGCATAGACAACAACCTACTGACAGTAAGGAGGCAACAGAGGGGTTTGGCCATATGGTCTTGCCGAATCAGGCCCAGTGCTGGGGATGTGCAGACAGGAGCTTCCTGCTTAGGGCTGGCAGATTGGCCTGGATCTGCCACAGAGAGTGAGGGTACATGCCCACAGACTCGTTTCTAGAGCTCAACTTAAATACACAGTTTTGCCAGATCATCAGACTAGTAGCGAGATATCAAAATTATCAAAGGCTGATGTCTTCAACCAGACCCTTGTGGAAACACAGAGATGGTAGTAAAACCTCAGATTATGATCCTAGCTTGATGTGAACTCAGTGCAAGAAAGATGCCAAGGCCTTAGAATTGGATTAAACCTCTGCCCTCCTGTCTGCACTCCTGCCTCAAAAGCACCTGAAAGTTTAACTGATGCACATCTTTTAACAAGATAAACACCCTGAGTATACTTCTTTCCCAAAGCCCATGTCTTCAGGATAGGGAAACAACCAACAGGTCCTGTGTTTTGGCACAACCTGGGTTAATTCTCAGAACAACAAGAACAAACAGCAATGCAATTGCAGAGGAAGCAACACAAAAATCTCAGAAGCAAATGAGAGGCAAACTGCATTTATCAGTCGTGCTCTCCACTGAGTCTCATTATCTGTCACCACACACCCTACCCAGCTCCTTGCCACAGAACACAAGGATCTGAAACCTCTCCCCAAAAAGACAGGCTCAGAAGTAACAGAACAAACATTGTGGGGTCTTCTCATAACAGATCCCATCTTACCGGCCAAAAAGCCAGGCTTTGCAAGCTTCTCCAGACCTGCAGAGAATGGATCTCTGATGGCACCAGTCCACCTTGGTACCACCCCAATACAAAATCTGACTGATTCTGGCAGTTCCTACACCACAACTTGAAACCCAGTCACCATGGATTGTTTCTGAATGTGACATGGCTTATACTAACAAAGCGTGAGCACAGCAGTACCAGCTTGAGTGCCTTGGGAATACTGGCACTTCAGCTGTTCTCTAGGTTCTTGAGAAAACACATCATAGGCAAGGCAAAATGTGTCATTTGGCATTCTTCACTGTATTCTCTGGACAATGAGCCAGTCCTCAAGAAGCTGAGCACATTCAGAAAGGGTCTGTGGGGAGAGAATCCCATAAAAGGATGAAAGAAAAGCCCTGAGGTGTAAACGTGTTGCATGATTGAACTGAAACACCACATCATGCTGAGGACAGCTGATAGCACTGACATAAAACAGGAGGACAGGTAACAAGGAAACTAATTATCTGCATTCAGTTAAATGCAGCAAAAGAGCCTGGGCATCTGCTGTGGGCGAGGCACCCAGGGAGAAACGCAGCATTATGCAGACTCTGAACTGGGCAGCTTTCCAGCCACTCTTCCCCAAGCCTGTAGCGTTGCATGGGGTTGTTGTGACCCAAGTGCAAGACCCGGCACTTGACCTTGTTGAACCCCAGCCCATAGATCCAGCCTGTCCAGATCCCGCTGCAGAGCCATCCTACCCTCAGGCCCATCCTACCAACACTCCCACTCAACTTGGTGTCATCCGCAAACTTATTGAAGGTGCACTCGATCCCCTTGTCCAGATCATTGATGAAGATATTAAACAGAACTGGCTCAAATACCGGGCAACACCACTTGTGACCAGCCACCAAATGGATTTAACTCCATTCACCAAACTCTTTGGGCCCAGCCATCCAGCCAGCATTTTACCCAGCAAAGTGTACACCTGTTCAAGCCACAACCAGCCAGCTTCCCCAGGACAATGCTGTGGGAAATTGGTGTCAAAGGCTCCACTAAAGTCTAGGTAGACAACATCCACAGCCTTTCCCTCATTCACTAAGCTGGTCACCTTGTCAGAGAAGGAGCTCTAGTTGATCAAGCAGGACCTGCCTTTCAGAAACCCACACTGACTGGGTCTGATTGACTTGTTTTTCTGTATGTGCCACGTGATGGCCATTAGGATGATCCACTCCATAACCTTCCCCAACATCAAGGTCAGGCTGACAGGTCTGTAGTCCCCTGCATCTTCCTTCCAGACCGTCTTGTAGAGGGACATCAGATTTACTAACCTCCAGTCAACTGGGACCTCCCCAGTTATCCAGGACTGTTGACAAGTGATAGGAAGTGGCTTGATGAGCACTTGAAGCAGCTCCCTCAAGACACTTGGGTTGATCCCATCCAATCGCATAGACTTGTATGTCTAAATTGTGTAGCAGTTTACTAACCATCTCCTCTTGGACTACGAGGGCTTTATTCTGCTTTTCATTCCTCAGCTCAGGGGACTGGAAACGCAGTCCAACTACTAAAAATTGAAGCAAAGAAGGCATTAAGTACCTTAGGCTTTTCCTCATCCCTGGTTGCTATCTTGCCTCCACCCACTCCCTCAAATCCAATAAAGGATGGACATTCTCCTTACCCTTCCTTTTGTGGCTAATATATTTAAAGAAACATTGTTTATTGTCATCTCTCACGCGGACATGTTACCATAAAACTTCGATGCTGAAAGAACCCTCTAACACTTGTCTTTAAGCTCCAGAGGGCAGGCATTCTTCATTGCAGCCCTGGATGCGCGAGGGAGAGTTCTCAAAGTCACGCAGGCTGTGAGCAACAACAGGCCAGGCCCATGTTGTCCTACCAGATTGATGTGCATCACATTTCCTGGAACTCATTGTTATATTTGCTTTTTTTTTTCCTTATCCATGCACTTTAAGGTCCTCAGGCGGGGTCTTCAGGTCTCCCGGGGAGCCGTTCCGAGTCGCCCTTCGGTCACCCCCTTCTCCGGCCCCCGCACAACGCCGGGCGGCAAAGCCCAGCCGGCCGAACGCAGTTCCCAGCTGCAAGGCCCCTCGAGTTGGTTACCTATTTACACGCCAAACGCCTGGAGACCGCTCAGGTAAATGCCTTCCTTTGTTAAGGCGTCAGGCACACATAGAGCGGA